TCACTTATTTTGACCTCAATTAATACAAATATTGAAGAAAGTATGAAGAGCATGTTTAATAAAAATTCCGCGTCAAAGGGTTAATAAACATTCATTAAAATAGATTGAAATAATTAAATAATAGACTAAATTAATTAAAATAGATCCTTTTCAGTTACGGGTAATTAACGTATAGGAAAATTCAACAATCGGTGTGACTTAAAAAAGGAAATATTTAGTTTCTTTATAAATTAAATTTTTTAATGAACTTTAAATAAAGAGCAACACTTATAATTAAGAATATTGTATTTTGTTTAACATAAAATTTAAAAATAATTTTCATAATGTTATTAAGGATGAAATGCAGCATTTGATTTCTTAAGAGGTTTAAAATTACAAATAAAAACTTATTGCAAATATAAAATCGAAATGAAATCCCTACGATCGAATTGAAATTCTTTTGAGTCATTCACATCAACGCGCATTTCTTACTTATTACATATGCACATATCTTAAAAGATTTAACTCTTAAAAAAGGCTCTTCTACGGGATTTCAAAGTTCGCACCAAAAAAATTCGAAAATACTATTTGAAGCAACCTTTCCAATCAACTTCAAAGCAGAACCGCTTTTGGAGAAAAAAAATTCACATAAGGAAGTAGATATGTTTCTAATCATAAGAAGTTAAGATTGGCGACAGTAAGGAAATGTAAAAATGCAAATGAATGGAAAATTTTTGCTGCACAGAAATTTTTCACTGCTTGGCTTACATCAATAAGTTGAAAAAAGTTAATTTAACTGTTCAGGTCCGGCGAAAAAAGAAAGAAATGCTTCTCCAGGCCCTTACGCTCCGAGAGTAAACGCTCATAATTGGGTGATTTTTCCCGTTAAGCCTAATTTCATTAAAATTAGGCTTAACAGGACCATCAAAAGTTAGAGCCGTATAGCTTCAGTTGTTTACATGTTTAAATATCCTAATTCCAAAAGAAAAAAAAAGTGGAACGTAATCGCACGTTGAAGATCAACACCTGTGAAACATTATTCGAAATTATAATGGACTTCAAACGTCATCTAGTTTCATTTAAAATTTTAAATAAAAAATTCCAAATAGATAACTCATCCACGTGAATATGGGGGCCTAATTTCTGTTAAATCTGCTAAGCCTAATTTCATAAAAATTAGGTTTAACAGAACTGTCAAAATTTAGAGCCGTATAGTTTAGTTGTTTACATGCTTAAATACCCTAGGTCCAAAAGAAAGATGGAAAGAAAAAAAAATGGTACGTAAGAGCATATTGAAGATGATGACCTGTGAGACATAAATCGAAATTATAATGGACTTCGAACGCCATCTAGTGTCATTTAAAATTTTAAATAAAACGTTCCAAATAAAAAACTCATCCATGTGAATATGGGGCTTAATTTCATAAAAATTAGGCTTAACAGAACCATCAAAATTTAGAGCCATATAGTTTCAGTTGCCAACATGTTTAAATATCCCAGGTCAAAAAGAAAAAGAAGACTGGAACGTAATCGCGTACTAAAGATCAACACTTGTGAGACATAGATCGAAATTATAATGAACTTCAAACGCCATCTAGTGTCATTTAAAATTTCAAATAAAAAGTTCCGAATAGAAATCTCATCCACGTGAATACGGAGACCGCGGAGTCAGAACAGTTCGTCTGATACATCATAGCACGGGCCCATAAGGTAGAATCGGGTCTTCCTGTATTGTGATCCCGGTTCTGAATGGATTACCAATTATAGGAAAAATCTTTCGCTGCCTAATAGTTTGACTATCAAAGTACTTAAGTGTAGTGGTCAGGAAGCAAAAATTTGTTAATAGAAAAAAGAAGTGACGATTCTGAAATTCGTAAGAATATTTGGCTCTGTGCCAGCGCTAAAGACAGAAGACATTTCTCTCTCATCTTTACCGGTGCATGCGCTGTGTGCTAAAATAAAGAAAACGCTATTCAAAACCAGAAAATATGGCAGATTCCAATGATTGAAATAAAATTACATTTTTTATTACAAATGATTAGTATTTTTAAATCAGTATATTTACTTTAAAATAAATTCTAATCCAATATAACCTATAAACTAAAGAATAAATTACTTTAATAAATTTGAGATAAAAGAGAAAATATCACGATCGGAAGTTAATGTGTGTAAATTAAGTTTTCAAAACTGATGCATGTTCCATTTCAAATATCCTTGGGGGTGCTTTTTGAGCACTACACCACCAGCCTTGAAAATGAAATCGACATTTAGTACGATTTAGTATTAACTTACATGAAGTTTCCTTCTTCATGCGTACTTTAAGTTCTTTGGTGTAAGCTTCGATAGAGGGGAACCAGCTCAAGTGCTGTTCATGTCGTCTCAATGGTGTCAAATTTTCGAGACGTTTTTCTAATGGTTTTTTAAAAAATAGGGCCTTGTAAAACGGGTCTAGAAACTTGGTCATGGTTCAGTGGTGTAACCATTGAAAACTAAGCAGCATACACATATTAAATTTAACATTTTCACTGAAGACGCAGGGAAACACGCATTACATCGACGGTGCACGGACTAGGGCACCTTTATTCAGGCTGAATCTTGAACACATCCTGAGCCACGGCAAAAAATTTAGTAGTATTGATACAGGATGTCCAGCGGAGGACTGACTGATTTCAAAATCAAAAATCTGAGAAACAAAGGAGATAGAGGAATAAAACAAACGGTATGTCTTCTGAGAAAGCTGTAATATTATGCAGAAATGGAGGAACATAGTTATCAAAGTTGTTAGCAGATGGCGCTGTACGCTACACAAAGTTTGAGGAAAATACAAAAACACAAATTCCTTAGGATTGCAAATTAAGCAGTGGTTTTTTTAGAACCATAAGCACACTTTGTTCAATAGAATGAATGGTTTAAGCTTCCTAGTGCGGTACAATGGCCTTTTTTTCCATTTTAAAACTAGAGCTGATACCTCTAGTCATTAGGGGTTCACAGCGCAATCTGTTAGCGACTTTTGAAATTAAATTTAACAATTGCTGTGTAAATTTGATTCAGCATTTACAATTAACACACGTTTGTTTCTGTTTCAATTTTCATTAATAAAATAAAAAAATAAAATGATTTAGAGTAATTTATAAGTTCTTTTCCTTGTATGTTCCGCAAATCCCTCTAATGCCCAATCATATCCTTTGCAATAACATTATCTTCTAACTATCAATAGATCATTTTTACTCGCACCTCTTTTTCTAAATTTGATTTAAATCACGAAAAAAAAAAGAGTGGCTAGACAAATTTACAATCTTGCATACAAAAATAAAAATTTGCATGACAGAAGAATACAAATTTGCTCAAAATATAATGACAAATTCCAAATCGTTGTATTTAACCAAACACAATGCTACGAAATACAGTCGAAAATAAATTTTAATGCAACTGATGAATGTTACCTTATCTCTTAAAGAAAAATGTGTATTTAAATAAAAAANCCCCCCCCCCTCCAAAAGAAAATTGTAAAAGAAGTAAATTGTTTCGAACTTAAAAGCGTTCTCGATTATTTAGAGGACTGGCGATAAAATCTAATTCCATTTGATGGCTTCCGCTTTTTAGGAGACGAAACACACTCACCAGCAGCTCGATCTTCGTGAAAACACGTCCTTAATAAACGGTTAACAATTGAAAAATGAGTTCTTATCGATGGGAAATATTTCGTATATTTACGGACGGCACGGAATTCTAAATTAAATCCGGCCCTAAGATTAATGACATTTTTTCCCCAAACAAAAAGTGCTCATTTTCTTCTTATCAGGAATATAATAGGGCGTTTACCTGATTTTCTAACACACCCCTGGCATTAAGGATGGATGATTTACAACCCAGTTTGCATCAAAAGCATATCAATCTGGCAGAATCCTTTTTTTTAATTCAATTTTCTAGAAGAATTATTTTTTTGTCGTTAATTTCGTTTTTGTTTTCTGGACTATTCTTGAGTTAATGTGGGTAAACGGATTAAGTTAATGAATCTAATTTCACTAGAAACCATTATTTACGATGATATCATTGTTGTAAATGAATGACTTTTACGGGCGTTTTGTTTTATTGTGAGTTATTGATCGAAAACGAAATAATAAATTTATAAAGGTATTTCAGATAAACCTTTAATTGTGGAGAATATAGCTTAAAAGCCTCATTCATTAAAATCGCCCCTTTCAAATAACAATCAATGCAAAATTTATGTTACATACTTATATACATGCAAATGAATAGAAAATGAAGTGATAAAATAGATTATACATTTAATACAGACATTTACAGTTTAGTTTTAATGATAGAGGTTGAAGCTTAGTTTCCAAAACAACAGAGGCAGAAAATTGCATGTTTCGCTTGCCAATTTATTCTGTTACAATCGTTTAGTTGAATAATGCATAAATACAGATTTGGTTCGTACAAAAACAGCGCCGTGCATTGATACAATGAAATCTAACTGTGCATGAACAATTTACTGATTAATTTTTAAGGCTCAAACAACAGTCGAAAATGAATCAGTCGAAATTTATTTGCTGTTGTAATAACGTAGAAAATTTCCATAAAAAGACTAAAAAATTAGTTTTGATGAATATCAATAATTTTCGACTTTAATAATATTTGAATTTTTTTACCTTTTTGTTGTTGCAAAAAGAGACATTATAAAATCTTATCACCATAATAATAATCTCATCTGATTATATCCCCCGAAATAATTCATCTGTGAAATAACTCGATGAATGAGTCTTATATACTAGTGATATGGTATTTAATATTTACAGTGGCAGTTACGCCACAAATATCCCTTCTTATTAGCTTTATGATTGGATCTAGTGTTGTTACAATTAAGCTTTATACTGACTAGCACTAACAGGTATGTAAGACATTTATTGTTAATTTACAATAGGATCTATTATTGTTTATTATCTTTACGTATTATTTTCATCTTTTCTGATTTATAATATGATCTAGTGACGTTACATTTTAGGTACTAAGTTTATTACCTCCTTCGTCTCTGTACTGTATGATGTACTGGGTGATTGGAGTGTTACCGTTATACTGAGGTGGCGACCATGATAATTTGACACTCCTGCTAGTTGTCTCTAGAACACGTACATCTTGAGGGCCATCTGGTGGTTCTAAAATGAAATAAGACAAACAAAAATGATTATAAAACAAAAATTATTTTTGAAGGAATCTAAAGTATAAAAAAATAGATTTATTTTGTAATTGTTCAATCAAAATCTGTAGATATATTTGCGAATTTCAAGTGAATGTTGCAAACGTTAAGGGAATCAGTTACATGCTTTATTGTATTTATTTTTAAGGGAATTTTAAATTTTATTCCAAGTATGTTGTTATCCTTATTGTTGTAGCGTGAGTTAATAAAGTATAACAACTGAAGAATTTAGTTAAAATGGTTCTAAGGGAATTTAGAAGTATCAGCTTTCAAAAATATAGCAACAGAGAAAAATAAAATTTCGAAACATATTTCTAACATAAAAATGCTTCTTACTATTTGATAAAGTAACATTTTAAAACTGAGAAAAAAAAGTAGGGTTAAAACTACCAGTATATGGTAAATAAATGTAAGGTAGTAAAACCGCTTGGCTCTATGGGAACATCAAAAAGCTCTAATTTTTACCTAAGTGTTTTGGAAATGATTTTTGTATAACTACCAATAAAGTTCGTTTTATAATATGTGATAAAATTTGGAAAAAAGTGACAAAATTTGGTATTTTCATCATGATTCTTTCCTTACAGCTAATAATAAAATTGAATTATTCGGTTAAATTTACTTCTCAGTTTTGTATTTCTTACTAATGTGTAACAATAAAAAATATATTTTTGAAAAATAGAATTTCCTGCAAATCGTTACCTTATAAACGAAAAAATTACCCAAATGAATGGTTTAAATACCGTATATTTTGTTTTTCTTAAAACTAGAATTATTATTATTATTTACTTTTGAAACGTTATTACTATGCAGTCCGGTAATTTTACCAGAATTGTTTCTGCGAGTAAGTTGAAGATAAGGTCACGAGATTTTTTTAAACTTAAAATATTCATATTTTTTGGAATTTAACGTAGTATCTTCTTCACTAACAAGGGAGACTAGGGAAGCGTGACTCCCCAATTTTGAAATAAACTAGTGGGATGTATGCCTGATGAGGAATAATTTTAGGGGGCAACATTCGTTTCGGCCCATAGAAGGTCCTATGAGAGATAAAAAAAATAATTCAATATATAGAAAAATCGGTATTTTATTACTTTAATGCAGACTATTAGTTATTGTAATTATCTCATACTCCAATTAATTTGCAATTAATTTGTTAATTAATTAATTAATTAGCAAATTATTTAATTATTAATTAATTAATTTGCAATTACATACTCCAATTAATTTGAAAAAATTTTTGAAAAAAAAAGAAAAAATTAAAAAAAAATTTTGATGCTAATTTTTTTTTTAAAATTAAACTAACAGGTTTTTCTGAAAAACTACAGATATATAAAATTTTCGAAATCAATTTTGACAATAAATATGCATTATATAGTGCGTGAAAGTACAACAAAATTGATTGGAGTATGAGATAATTACAATAACTAATAGTCTGCATTGAAGTAATAAAATACCGATTTTTCCATATAGTAATGAATTATTTTTTATCTCTCCTAGGACCTTCTATGGGCCGAAACGAATGTTGCCCCCTAAAATTATTCCTCATAAGGCACACATTCCACTAGTTTATTTCAAAACTGGAGAGTCACGCTTCCCTAGTCTCCCTTGTAAGTTCTTTAATTAATAGAACATTAGCTTTCAGTTTGTTTTTTATAGTTTTTTTTGGGGTTTAAGTAATGATTTTCTACCTATACAGATTTAATTTTTATTCTTACTTTAAACAATTTTCTTGAAAAAAAAACCCTGAAAATAGAAGAATACGATTACTAAACTCCCCACATAGGAGTATATTAATTAACTAGTTAAAAAAAAGATCATTAAACTCTTAAGCAATCTCGTTTGTGTGTCCTTGTTTACTACAAGTAAAAAGTATGTTTTATAAATACAATTATTTGCATACATAAATTTTTGACAATATTTAACGCGCTGTATTACCTTGAACAATAAGCTGTATGTTAGTATCATCTCTGCCATAGGCATTAACAGCTATACAGCTGAACAATGCTGAATCCCTTCTGTCAGCTTGTCGGATCAATATTTCAGACACAATCCCTGTTGACAATATTGTCTCTACAAGTTCATATCTGAGAAAAAAGTGAAAAATTAAAATATCAGTGCATGTATACATGATAAGGATATATTGCTTTGAATTTTCCTTCGGAAGTTTTTTAACTTAACTTTATCTAACATTTCTAAAAAAGACAAGGAAGTTTCACTCAAAAAAAGTCCCCTATGAAGGCAAATTTCTCCCAATTCTAGATCTAGGAGTTCTCTTGTCTTCTGGATTGGGTTCAAAATTACAAGGCTACGGCGTTGAACATTAGTAGTCGTAAACCCAAAAATTGAGACGGCTGTTCGACGACGATTATAAAATAGGTAACAGATTGAGAACAAATCACAGAAGATAAGTTAAAAATAATTATAAAACAGTTTATTGAGCAATGAAGAATTCGTAGATTTATAATTAAGTGATGTAGGAAAGATAATTATAATTAGATATTCTAATTAATAGAGAGATTATAATTTATTAGAGATAAGCTCATACCATTTGTACTTGATTCGCTATATATTAAAATGACATTAAACATTACTTAACTTATAAAACACTATGTGCGAATTGTTGCGCAAATAAAAAAGTAATAATTCTGTTTTATATCTTATAAGTATATTCCATATTCCTTACGTGAACGGTTGCGTATACTAAATTCTTATTCTACTAAATTCTTATTCTACTAATGTAAGTTTTATCCAAAATAATATAAAGTATATAAAATAGTTTCGTGAGGTTGCGTTTCACACAATTACGAAAATGGAGGTGAGAACTTATAAATTTATATTAAACTTTCCAATCTCGCAAGAGCAGGCGATAAAGTCTTCCATGCAAAGTCACTGGGCGCAAGTAAATTCAACTCATTTTTTTGTGATGGCTATATTTAAAAAAAAAAAAAATAAATAAAATAGTTGAATTTACTTAAGTCGGCGAAATGGAAAAGTACCATTTATATTGGTTGTTTGAAAGTATGATAAGTTTAAACCGAAAAAGGAACCTTAAAAAAATAGATGTAAATTGATAAATAAAATTAAGTAAATAAAATTAAATAAATAATTAAACAAAATTAAAAAAAATAATAATTACACAACAGAAAAGTATATGTGTTCTAAAATTTTTCTTTAAAGAATTATTGAAGATAATGTAATTCTAAAAGCGATTTCTTAAGCCAAAAATAAATCATGTAAAATAAATTTCAGTTTAAGTACATGGAATAAATTGTTTAGGCTGGATTGATTAAAATAGCTAGGTGAAAAACGTATGTTTTGAATGTTTTAAAATAGTATATAAATAGAAAGCGTTGAGAATAAGGATTTTAATGTGCGTATAATTCAATATAAGGCACAATAAAAGTCGTTTCAAAAAAGGAAGGGCAAAGAAATACAGCAGGAAACTGCCCAATTTTGAATGTGGTGACGCATATATTTAATCTGACATCTTGGAACCACTCCTATGTACATTCAAGAACTGTTATAAATTACATTAGGATAAAAACTAAGAAAAAATGGAAAAGGAATTAATGAGGCTATTTTTTATGTTCCGTAATAAGTTAAACTTATTATGCAGTGATTCCTCTAGACTTATGAAACTAACGGCTACAGTTCGTTCACCAGGAGTTGGCACTTGGCTCCGCCCTCATCACGTGGTATCCGACGATACTATTTCGCTATTTTTGGGAGAAGGATGGGAAAAATCCTAAACAAGGTTACTATTTGGGAATCGTATGACTAAAATATTTATTTGCAACGTATACATTAACTATTTCATCTTTTGGATGAATAGTTTGTACTTCTTGAGACATTTTTCTGGGAAAACAGCAGATTTTAAATTTAAAATATATTTAATCAGCTAGAGTAATGAAAGGTTTAATAGCAGGAGATAAAGCGAAGTAAGTGACTGAAAAAGAATGCACTGTTTGCGTTTTTCACGCATTAAGGGTTGTCTAATTCTGTTTCTCCTGTTAAGGCCTGTTTACACGATCTAGTTCTTGAAACCGAGAACTTGGACGAATTTACTCCAAGAAATTGGATGATTTGTCAACACTATCCAAGTTATTGAATGTCCCTGATTGGTTAGATGAGAAACCTGCGCATGCGCATTGTTCATATTCAACATTATAAAATTATACTCACATGAATTCAAAATTACTAATAATCATAATAACAGAAGCAGAAGACAATAATATATATTATAAAATAATATTAAATTCACAACTATAAAATATTTAAAGACAACAAAAGAAGATAATAATATACATTATATAATAATATTAAATTTACAACTATAAAATATTTAAAGCGAACAAAATAAGACAATAAATCTCCGATATATTTGCACAGTTACAGGAGACGATTAATTAGTACAAAGATCAGCATTAAATTAGCTCATTAAATAAAATTTTCGATTCAATTCTTTTCTCCTTATAAATTTAAATCTCAATATCAATAGAATTATGTTACAGGAAGTAAAACACAACTAAAAAGTCAATATATCTAAATCAATAAACTCGTTGGAATTGTCAAATCTGCACTTGTGAATCTGCGCGGCTTGTGAATTGGGACTTCAAAAACCTCACTGATTCCAGTTTAAAAAAAAAAGAAAAAAAATACTCTACGCTTTTCATATTGTCTCATTTTTAAAGTCAAGCGTTTTATTTGAATTTGAAGAAATTTCAACTCATGTAATTAAAATATAATTGGCAGTTGAAGCGAACGTGACGTTGCCATGGTAACCAAAAGAAAATGGATAACTCTTACTGAATTGTATAAATTACACATCATGCAATGCTGTGATATTCAAATGTTTTATTTAAGAAATTTAAATGTTCATGTTTTAACTTGAAAGAAGGGATTTTTAACATCAATTTATTAAAGTGTAGGGCAGTGGGAAGTTAAGACAGAACCCAAAGAATGTTTTAAGCAGAAAGATGATTTTTTTCGAAGGTTGTTCTGTACAGGTTGTAGTACAGGTTCTTCTGTAATCTCTGTCAGGTTCATAAACTAATATTAGAACGAGGAAGAAACAAAAAAGCTGTTCAAGTTTTTTGAATTACTAATAAAGGAAAAAGGGTGAAAGAAAAGAAATAATGAAATCAGTTTAAATGCCTTACAAGGCTTGCAGATACTAATAATCGTATTTCAACACTCCTCATCTTTCTCCGGCAATGAAACAGGTTTTGATGTTTTCAGTCCTACCTTTTTCAGTAGCGATTTTTTATTTCATTTTTGATAAGGATTTTGAAAGATATATAAATGGTGATCATTGCTGAAGACTGCGTACACTGTAAAAAAGGGATGCGCAAATTTCACGAAATTTTCTCCGTTTTTGACGAAACCGTTTCCTGTTATTTGTTTCGAGCAAAGATTTCATCAAAGTGACGAAATAACTCTCGTCACTTCTTCGAGGAATCGAATTTAGTCAAAATTAAAGAAATATTTTGTTACTCTATTTAAAAAAAAATCTCGTAGCTCCTAATTTATCTACAGTCCCTGGACAAATTATTAGACCTACTATAAAATTCTATGTAAAATCTTAATTACCAGGTGATATACTATTCAGTTTTATTGTTTTTACGTGACTAAAACCGGTTTGCACTTGTTTACATACGCGTATCAATGGGTTAAATTAGACGATATATAATATAAATTCGACGATTGGATAAATTAGCCAATATGTTATATAAATATAGAATATTTATTATATCAGGTATTACATTAGTTTACTACAATAATTAGACCGAATTATTAGACGCACTGTAGTATTTTAATAATTACATGTTTTGCACGAGTTTTTATGCAATACTTCTACATTTAAAGATACACGTAATGGATTTTTTTTCAGGAGATTTTTTATATACTTCCTATTTGTATATATTTTTAACGTATTGCATTACAATGTTAACCAATTGATACACGAAAGTAAGAAAATGCAAACCGGTTTCAGTCGCGAGAAAACAAAAAAAGCTGTATAGTATGACCTGATAATAAAGATTTTACACAGAATCTTATAGTGTGTCTAATAATTTGGCCGGTACTGTACATTTTGTAATTAACACTTTATCGTGGGTACCATATAAGTGGACCAATGTCGCCAAAACATCAAAAGAAGGACAGATAGAACAGATGCATGCTCGAAACGGGATTCGAAACCTTGACCACCATACAAGCTGATCGGCTTTTTTCGTCACTCTATTTTCGATCGTCTAGTCTTCATTCTAGTTTCGTCATTCTAGTGAACTATCTCCCACAATGCACTGCAATGGGGTTCCGAGTTGAGGAAACATTTTCGTCATATATATTTGAGAGTTAGCGTTTTGTCACAAATAACGTGATTTCGTGACGAGATGATTCTCAAATTACGAAATACAGATGAAGAATTGTTGAAACGTCAAAAGTGAGAGATTCATTTCTAAGAGTGTATATGACTGCAAGTAATTTTATTTTCTAAAATAGTTGCTTTGCACACAATTATATTTAATTTATGATAACATTTGCGAAACTAAAGTAACTGCCTGTTTCGTCACTGTAATTTCGATCGTCTATTCTTCATTCCAGTTTCGTCATTCCAATAAACAATCTCCCACAATGCACTGCGATGAGGTTCAGAGAAGAGGAAACATTTTCGTCATATATATTTGAGAGTTCGCATTTTGTCACAAATAACGTGATTTCGCGACGAGATGATTCTCAAATTACGAAATACAGATGAAGGATTGTTGAATCGTCAAAAAGTAGAGATTCATTTCTAAGACTGGACTGGATGTAATTTCATTTTCTAAAATAGTTACTTAGCAAACAATTATTTAACTCATGATAATATTTTAAATTAAATCTTTCACTTACAAACAATTATTGTTAAGATGCCTACAGTACTAAAGTATAAGAAACCTTTTAACTATTAGTACTTTTTTAGTTAACCGAAAATACCTATCTTAACTATTTTTATGTTATTACTATTCTATCAATCCTTCGGATAGAGCTAGAGAGTTAAAGAGAAATACGCAATTAGTTACTAGCATCAGCATTAAGGTAACAGGGAGTAGTGGGTACTTTTCGTCCTAACCCCCCTGGTACTCATTA